TGTCCTGAGACTTTCTGTGATGCTGAGTTTTTAAAATGTGATGGATTTCTTAATCTGGTGGAAGAAATTTGTAAGAAGCATAGTATTCAGTCAGTGGCATGGGTATTACTGGCAGCTTTTAGCCAAATTTATTGTGATAATCTGGGGCAGAAAGCAGAGAGGTTAGAAAACTTACTTGAAAGGTATGAGTAAAACTGGGGCTAAGGAAGTGGAAGTTGTTAAAGACATTAGCACCACAAAAGAAATGTAGAGACTTTACCCAGAGACCATAAGAAAGATAATTTAGGGGATCTCAGGAATTGGTCTTTGAGAAGAGACCAGTAGGGTGCCCTGCTTGCACAGAGGGACCTAGGAAGTTGTTTCACCATGGGCACCCACACAGGCACTCAGAGGCTGCTATAGCCAGGGTCTCTGGAGGCTTTACTGCTGCTAGAAATGGTGGCAGACCTTCGCTGCAACCAGGTGGTGCTGGTTCTGCAGGATTGCAGGATGCTGGAGCTAGGGGGTCAGGGAGGCCTTCACTGAGATTTCACAGGAGGGCCTGGGAGGCCAGACAAAGTGCAGCATGGTCACAGTCCCAGCAGGCACTGCCTGAGAGGGCAGTGCATGGAGCTGTGAGGAGGAAGCTGGAGATTCAGTGGAGACCCCCCAAATTAAGAAATGTCAGTACTGTGCGGACCATCTGCCTAGGAAAGCTGTAAAGAATTGAGAAGAGACTAGCCAACAGAGAGGCCATGTGGGTTGCAACCTGCAAAGCCATAGGGATGGAGCTATACAAGCCCTTTGGAGAGAACACTATGAAATCATGTGCTCCAGATGTCAGCTGGATTTCAGTCTTGCTTTGGTCCTATGCCTTCTTTCTATGCCCCTATTTCTCCCTTGTGGAATGGAAATGTTTATTCTGTACCTTTATATATTGGATATATGTGACTTGCTTTTGATATTTACAGGGACTCACACTTAGAGTTTGCCCTGAGTCTCAATGGAGACTTTGGACTTGGACTCTTGGGAAATCTTGGAACTGTTGAGACTATGGGGACTCCTGGAAATGGACTAAATTTATTTTGCATTGTGAATGATCATGAGCTTCTGGGGGCTGGGGACGGAATGTTATGGTTTAGATATTAGGTATTCCCCAAAAACTCATGTGTGAGACAATGCAAGAAAGCTTAGAGGTAAAATGGGTTATGAGAGGCTTAAGCCAATCAGTGAATTAATCGCCTAATAGGGATTAAATGAGAGGTAATTTATGGCAGGTAAGGTGTAGCTGGAGGAGGTGGGTGATTTTAGGATATATATTTTTTCCATGGTGAGTGGAGTTTCTTTCTTTTGGCCTCCTAATGTTGAAGCCAGAATTAAACAGGCAGTCAGTATAGATAGGGAAACTGAGTTAGGCCAATTTTGATCCAATACTGGGAAGTTGGAGAATGTCCCCTGAAGGAATGAAATGTAAATTTCTTAACAGTCCTTCCTCCACCCTTATCCTGCTCCAACCAGTTGCTAAGGTAACCAGTCCCAGGAATTGCCCCACCCTACAAGGAGCTATAAAGTTGTTAATTAATGTGCCCTGGGCTGCACCATCCTGCCCTTCCCCCTTCAGCCCATTGGTTTTCCACCTTTCGGCCATCCCAAGGAGCATTTCTCCATCTAGTAAGCTTGCAGGAAGGAGAAAGATAAAGGGAAGAGAGCAGGCAAACAAAGGAAGCCTAGGACATTGAAAATGGGTAGAACACCTCACTTCTGGGGATACCAGGATACCAGCTATGGCCCCTTTCTTCCCCCAGGAGAAGTCTATGATATTCTGAAAGACCTAAGCAATCTCATTCTACTTGGGACCTCATTTTGCTCTGAAACTTAACCCCTGACCTACTGCAGTCCTAAAGTCAGGAAAATACCACAGAAAGCTCTGTGGAACAGTTCTCAGAAAAGCCACAGTTAGTGATGGTCTAAGATAGGCCAAGATATCGAAATATCTGAAATTCCAGATGGTCCCCACCTAGGTGTGGTGACCAATATCTAAACTAGAAGCCCTGCAGCTTGGCATGTACCCCCCTTGGACACCCTCAGGATTTAAACCAATCAGTGTTAAGTGTGTCAACCCCTTGAACTAAACAATAATTCTTTCCAGATTCTTTCCCGCCACTTGATACACTAATCATGTTTTAGAGTTGTTGTTTGATTTTCCCATGGTGTGTGATGATTTGCTAAGAGATGCTATGAAGTATGTGGGGTCCCTGCCTTCCCCAAAGAGTGTATAGAACTGCTGCAAACACTGGTCTCAGGGCCTCAGTGTCACCAGTTGCTGTGTGTGTGCGGAGAACCGAGCTAGCTCGCAATAAACACCTCTTTGCTGCTTACATTGATCTTGGTCTCTGGTGGTCTTTTGGGGGTCCCAAATTCGAGCATAATAATTCCTTTTTAAATAAACCCTGCTTTATATGCTTGCGAGCTTATCTAATGTTCAAACTTAAACATGTGAGGAAAGCACATAAATATGAATCTTCTATCTGTGAATTTTTTAAGCTTTATTTTATTTATTTATTTTTATGCGGTACTGAGGATCAAATCCAGTGCCTCACATGTTCGAGGCAAGCGCTCTACCACTGAGCTGCAGGCCTAGCCCTGTCTATGAAATTTTGAAGGAAAAAATTGTTCTAGTTTTGCTGTTGTACCTCAAACTGCAAAAGTTGTGACCATAGTGTTTACTTAAGATGAAAAAGACATTAAATTTGTGTATGTAAAAGAAAATACTATAGTACATATAAGGTTCAATACTATCTGAAGTTTCAGGCATCCACTGGGATCTTGAAATACATCCTTTACAGATAAGGGGAGACTTGGATGTTCTTGTCTAACAACTCTTGGGAGGAAATGTATCTTCAGAAATGGTATCAAACTTGATAAGCAATTTGTCCAAAGTAGTACTGATTAGTTTAGGACTTGTGAACAATAAAAGTTCCTCTGGAAGATACAGGCAAAAATTTTTAGGAGGTTGTTGTTTAGGTGAGTCTGAACTTTGAGGAACAGATCAGGACTGGGTATAATGTTTCAGGAGTCTTAGCAATTAATGAAATGAAGGTAGTTAAGAACAACAGAATTGATGGGATAGCAGAGTGTTTGTAATGAGGGAGAGTCCTGAAGTTTGAGGTTTTTGAGGACAAACCTCAGATAGACACTAGTATTTAAGGGTTGAATGGAAGCGTATAGTGGACAGCAGAGGGAACTAATAAGGAGCAGCCAGATTGACACAATGAAAATCAATAGGATTTGACATCACAGAAGAAAAAGGAGGATTGATTTTTCAAAAGGAAATGTACAGAAGTCAGTGCTACAAAAAGCTAAAGTTGGAAGAAACTTGGTTTATTGGGTAGGGAAAGTCACTGATGGTACCCTTAGAACATTCTCTTTAGTTTTATGTTTGGAAATTAAGGTACAGAGAATGTAGACAAGAAAATAATATAGCATGTAAGAAACCTGAAACTGCTTATATTGTATTGGGAAAGGAGTTAGTAGAGGAGAAGAAATTGGAGAGGACAGTGAAGAGGTAATGAATACAGCAAACTTTCTAAGGAATTCAAACATCTTCCCTAAGGAGATGGGAAAGGCTGGGATCCACAGATTTTTTTCTTTCTTTTGCTATACTGGAGATTGAACCTACAGATGCTCTATCACTGAGCCATGTTCCTAGCCCTTTTATATTTTTATTTTGAGACAGGTTCTTGCTGTGTTGCTGAAGCCGATCTAAAACTTGCTTTCCTTCTGTCTCAGCTTCCTAATTGCTGGGTTTACTGGATGTGCCACCATCCCAGAACAGAAGTATTTAAAGTTGAGAAGAGAAAATTCTTTCTGTGGGAGTAAGTGAGGTAGGAGTTATGCAGGAATTGAGCAAAGAGCAGTCCCTTCTCCCCACTCCATAATGGGAAACCTGTACCCATACTTATATATAGTATTCTCCAGAAACTCTTGGAAATATCTGAGATCCAGCATTTTCACTAGGATTCACTTCTCCCACACATTATCTCATCATCCATCACAGAACTCCAGTCCAAAATGTGGAGCTCTTAAGTGTCCTTTCCCTGAATCAGAACATGCACCTTCATTATGGCCTGCATCCTTGATAGCTCAGTGTCTTCCCAGAACACCATCTTGGACTGGGTTCCCTTTCTTCCTTTATTCAGCCATTGCAATTGTGCTCTTTCTGGTGCTCCTTGCTATCCTTATCATACGGCTTCACCTTGTAATCTTCAACTGCCAAGTTCTTACTTCAGTTGTGTACAGGGTATACAACTGAGCTTGGTTCCCATTGCTGCCAAACCTTCCCCACAGCAGCAGTGCAAGCCCAAGCTTTCTCTCTCACACCTGTCACTGCTGCTTGATCTCCTGAGGTTTTTTTGTTTATTTGTTTGGTTTTTGTACTGGGAATTGAACTGAGGGGCACTCAACCACTGAGCCACATCCCCAGCCCTATTTTGTATTTTATTTAGAGACAGGGTCTCACTCAGTTGCTTAGCTCCTCACTTTTGCTGAGGCTAGCTTTCAACCTGAGATTCTCCTGTCTCAGCTCCCCGGGCTGCTGGGATTACAAGCGTGCGTCACCGCGCCGGCTCTCCTGAATTTTGAAAAAAATCCTTTCTTGCACCTATTCACCTTCCTAAAGTCGGAGATCCACAACCCCGTTCTCCACCCAACTATCCATCTTTGATGCCTCCCTCCCTCCTTCCCAGCCTCCTTGCTCAGAAAATCTCTGATTTCCACAGAAGCATCTTCCTTTTAGATTAGGAGTGTTTATATGATTGAAGGACTCACCACCTCCTGGGTTAGAGTCTCTGTAAAGGACCTACTTTCACCCATCACAAACAGTCCCTGTCTCTGCCACCTTGCTCATACTCCCTCCCAGTAGGTGGCACTGTGTCAAAGGAGGCTAGTCCCAGAAGGCCATCTTTCTCACACTTCGTTCCAGTAGGTGGCACTCTGTGAAGGGAGGTGGGTCCCGACAGGCTTTGCGGCATGACTCAGCATTTGTCTGTCCGTGTCACATTGCCGCAGCACGTGGTGGTGAGAGGAGCGGCTTTGTTCTTGTGAGGAGACTGAGGAGGTTGGGGGAGGAGGAGGCCAGGCCTGGGCCAGGACTGAGCAAAGACTGAAAGGGCACTGAGCGAGGGCTGTGGGGATTGAGTTGTGGCTGCAGACTCCCCGGGCCCCGGGCGGAAGTAGCAGCGGCGAAGCCGTCGCTCTACTTCCTAGGCCGCAGCAGCCATGGCGGTGGAATTTGGCGACCACGCCAGTGGCTTTCGCCACAATGAGGTGGTCCGGTTCATTAATAATGAAGTTCTCATGAACGGTGGTGGCCCGGAGTTCTACATGGCCTTTCGCTCTCGTCCCTGGAACGAGGTGGAGGACCGGCTTCGCTCTGTGGTGGTGGACCCGCAGGTGCCTCGGGCCCTCAAGAGGGCGTGCACTTGGAGCGCCCTGGCCCTGGGCGTGCGAGTGGTGGCCAGGCAGCGGGAGCAGCAGGGGCGTCGGGTCCGTAGGCTGCAGGATCAGGTGGAGGAGCGCGAGGCGGCTTGCTGGGCGCTGGCTTCCGAGTTGCAGCGGCTGCGTGAGGAGCGCGATGATGCTACCACTCAGCTGCGCTTCACTCAGGTTGCCTTGCAGCAGGCGATGGATGAGCGTGAAGTGCTACGTGGGAGACTACTTCAGGCTGAGAGGTCAGCAATGGCAGATCCATTGCCCCCAAAGGTTGTACCTGTTATGGCAGCCCAACAGCATGGTGTTGTAGCATGGTCCCTGGAGGGAGAAGAGCAGGCAGAGGTGGTGGCAGCTGGAACCCAGGGCATGCCACATGTAGAGGCCCAGATGCCAGCCCCAGCACCTTTGCTTTATGTGCCAGGACACCCATGTCCTTGGTCCCAGGCAATGCAACCACATGTGCAAATGCCAGTGCCCCATCCAATGCCAATCCCAGTGGGATTCCCATACTCAACACCTCTACAAGCCCCTGTAGTAATGGAATCAGAATTGGCAGGAGCAACAGCCACAACAGTGGCAGCAGTTGCATCCCAGGTGCCTCCTGCAGTGACCTATCCACCCAGCTTATGGGCTCCAGTGGGGTGCCAGGAGGGAATGGCTCCTCAATGTGTCCAGAGTTGCCTCAGCTGCCAGGGCCAGGATGAATATCCTGAGAACCTCCCAGGCAGATGCAACCTGGGAGATCTAACAAGCCCCAAGCAAAAAGAAGGTCCTGAGGGTTCCCAGGGAATGACTTCTCTGGGGGAAAGCATAAGCCAAAGCCGGGAGGGTCAGGAGAGGCCCCAGGGGGAAGACCCCACAGGGGAGAGCATTAGCCTTACCCAGAAAGAGGGTAAGGAGAGGCCCCAGGGGACAGACCCCCTGGAGGAAAGCAGCAGCCACATCCAGAAGGAAGATACAGCAATGCCCCAGGGGACTGCTCCCCTTGTGGCTAATGGGAGCCTGGAGCAACAGAAAGCTCCAGAGAGACCCCAGGCAACCCCCCTGGGTAGCATTAAGAGTCAGGGTATGAAAAAAAGCCCAAAGAAACAGCAGTCTCAGGTTCAGAAGGCCAAGCAACCCCAAGGGAAAAAAACCTTGGAATCCCAGCAACTGGAGAAGTCTGCCTCATGCTCCAGTCAAGTGAATTGGATCTGCTCATGGTGTAAAGCTGTGAATCTTCCCTGGCGTCTAGCCTGCTATAAATGCAAGAGAGCCTACATGCCAGTTGAGAGTGGAGGTGATGACCCAGGAAAATCTCACTAATTTTAGAAAGGTAAGTAAGGGTGGAAATATTCCAAAGAGAAAACAGTTTCCTAAGACCCCCCCCCCAACTTCTGATCAAAAAGTAATTTATTCAGAGAAAAATTGTAACAAAAATTTTTGAAACACTGAACTTCTATTCTCTCCCTACCCCCTTGTTGGATGTTAGCATCCACATATCAAGAGAGAACATTCCACCTTTAATTTTTTGGAACAAAAATTATCATAGAGAATATTATTTAATGCAATATTCTATTACCCAGATTAACCACTTTTAATAATTTGGGGCCCACATACATACAAAATGTATGTAATTATATTCTTGTTTTATTCATTTACTTTAACAAAGATGGGACTATAGAATATTGGACTCCTTAATTAAAGGTATCTCCTCATTATACTTAAGTTTTCAAGGTGGTAGATTCAGTTTTTTTTCTTTCTTTCTTTCTTTCTTTTTTTTGCACTGAGGATTGTTTTGTTTTCTACTTAGTGCCTCTCTGAGTTGCTGAGACTGGCCTCAAGCTTACAATTGTCCTGCCTCAGCCTCCCAAGCCATGTGCATCACTGCTTGGCAGTGGATTCTTTTTTTGTTTTGGGGTACTAGGGATTGAACCCAGAGGTGTTTTACCACTGAGATATAGCCCTTGTCCTGTTTATGTTTTTATTTTGAGACAGGATCTCATTAACTTGTTGAGGATGTCTCACCTCCAGAGTCACTAGGACTTACAGGTGCGTACCACTGCTGCAGTCTGGCAGGGCACAAATAACCGAGCCACCACAAAGCCTTGTAGGTTCAAACAGCAATTCTTTATTCCCCAACTCTCACCACTGCACACACACTTCCCCAGGAACACACTCCTTCCACCTGGCTCTGAGCGCCCAATCCCGCCCGCCCCCTCCCTGCCCCAGAACTGCACAGGAACTCCAAAGTAGCAGGCACCGGAGGCAGATTCCCAGAGCGGCCCTATTCCTGGAGCACGGTCCATATAAAACTCAATCAATCCAGCATCACAGCAATTATATACAGCTTAACTCAAATCATCATCTCAATGGTTCCCTGGCCGTCACCTTTCAACCATTCCCTCTGGCAATATGCCTGGCTTCATTCTGACTCGACTGTGGCTCTCAACATACCACCACACCCAGCTTGCTTTTTCTTTTTAAATAAGGTAGTGGATTTTTTTTGGGGGGGGGTTACTGGGGATTGAACTCAGGGCATTCACCCACTGAGCCACATCCCTAGCCCTATTTTATTTAGAGACAGGGTCTCAGTGAGTTGTTTAGCACCTCGCTTTTGCTGAGGCTGGTTTTGAACTATCCTCCTGCTTCAGCCTCCCCAGCTGCTGGAATGTGCCATTGAGCCAGTCAGATGGTGGATTCTTGATGGCTATTATGGACTGGTTGACACTCCAGAGAACTAAAGTTATGAAGTTTTCAACCCCCACTCCTTTCTATTTTCTTCTTAACCTCTTTTTCTTGAAAATGCCATTTATTTTTTAGCAGCCATCTGCTTTTAGAGTGATAAGCTATGTTGAATTTTAGGAACTCGACTTTTCCTTGAAAATATTACTGATCCTTTGGAAACTACTATAGTGTTCATGTTTGCTTCTTTTTGCTTTTTAACTTTTGTAGGTGAGGCCGTTTTTGTATCTCAGCCCCACGGAAGTTGTTACTGCAGAAGATGAACCTGTCCCGTTAAAAGATCTTCCCAGAGCTTGAAAGAATACCTCAATTTTGATTGATGCACACTTCATTGAGACCCCACCTTCCCACTGCCTGGAGCCAAGAAGAAATGGATCCAAGAAGAGAGAAAAGGAAGAAGAGATGCTTTGGCACTTATTAGTGGGACAATGAAGAACAAAATAGTTATGTTAGAATTTAATTTCTTCAAGGGATTAACTTGAAACTGTTGAGGGTTTGTATTGTTAAATTCTACATATGATAGAAAACTTGTTTAATTTAACTCATTATTGAATGCTTTGTGCTTCTTAGGAATTGGAACGATACAATATTATCTCTTGTATACATCATAATTTTTTTTTTTTTGGTGAGTTTGGTTTGATGATAGGAAAGAACATAACTCCCACATTAGACTAGGAGTGTTTTCTTTGCCTTGCATGTAATATAAACTTGGATAAAACCAATTTAAATATCATTCATATCCATTTCTGTATTTCTGGGAGGCAACTTGAAAAAAAAAAATTTCATGAAAGGACTTGAGTGACCAAACTGCACATCTCATTGGTCCCAAGTGAGACAAATGAGCAACGGCAAAAATCAGGAAAATGTCCTGGTAAAATCACAGGCATGGCTTTTCTTATCCTCTGCCTGTTTCATTTCTTGAGTCATACCTATTTTTCTGGCTGACCTACAACCTGTCTAAAAGATCACTGGGTTATATTCAAAAAAGTGTTGTTTTGGTGGGGAGAAGGGAGAGTGTTCATTACATAACCAAGCCCTCAACCCCAGGCTGTCCCTATCCCAAATCCCTTTCCATTCAAGAGTGTATGTATGGTGCATGCCTGTAATCCCAGTGACTCAGGATTCTGAGGCAGAAGGATCACGAGTTCAAAGCCAGCCTCAGCAATTTAGTGAGGTCCTAAGCAAGTCAGTGAGACCCTGTCTCGAAATAAAATACAAAAAAGGGGCTGGGGATGTAGTTTGGTGGTTAAGTGCCCCTGAATTCAATCTCTGGTACCAAAACAAAATAAAACAAAAAGTGTATGGAGAAAAATGTATTCCAAAGACAGAAACAGGGTCACTGCTCTATGTATAGATGGTGCTTCTCTAGGGAGGATTGTTTGGGTTAATAATAGACCTGGATGAGGCCAGCAGGCTCCAGAATGCCCCTGAGCCTCTTGTCTTCCACTGGGTGTGTTATCTGCAGATTCACTGCTCCTCCAAGGCAGTAGCAAGGCAAGAAGCCAGGGTAGAGCCCTGTGAGAGGTTAGATCTGCCTCCAGTGTGAACAAAAGGTGTCACAGAGTTTCCCTGGAGATCCTGCCTATCTCACGAACATTGAGTTTTCTGATCCTAACTTGCAATAAAGAGTTTGTACTTGCCTTATATGTCTTGTGTCATGTGTATGTGTGGAGCTTTGGGAGGCTAATTTGCTTATGCTTCCCTCGATTTCACTGAGGTGAAGGAAAGTTGGATCTTATTTACCATTGGAGGGCCCTTCCTTGTGAATTATCCAAGAATTGGAGGGGTACATATGAGACCTTTCTTTATTCCACCTTGATTATCCTTACTACTTGCACTGTCCAAATTCATGAAGTACCTTAGAGGTAGGAATGTCTGCTCTTGTAGGAACAGTTGTGGGAGATAGGAGTGTCTGTCAATACTGCAAGTTCTGACTTGTAAGGCCTAGCCTCCCTACTTTTGATTGTATAACTTTTGATTGAGAATGATTGTATAATGCAATCATTCTCTTCTGGTTCTTGCCTTCTCCCTGTGGTCCTGGCAGGGCGTAAGGGATGTTCAGGTATTATAAGCAGGGATCTATGTAACTTTCTGTTCTCTAAGTCACTCTCCTTTTAGGAATTCAAGATGATAAGTAAGATTATAGAAAACCAAATATAAAATAGCAGCATAAACCTCTTCTGAGACAAGGGATAGGGGAGAGGCAACAATCTAGATAACTTAGAATGCATGTGGTAAGATGAGGGGAAAAACAACAAAAATGATGCTGTGAGACCATAAATTTACCCTAGAGATATGAATAAGAAACAGTAAATAGCTGGGTGCAGTGGCACATGCCTGTAATCCCAGCAGCTTGGGAGGCTGAGGCAGGAGGATTGAGGGTTCAAAACCACTTAAACAACTTAGCAAGGCAATTCAGTGAGAACCTATCTGTAGATACAAAAAAGGGATGGGGATGTAGCCAGTGGTTAAGTGCCTGAATTCAATCCCCATTACCAAAAACAAAACAAAAAGCAAACCCAGTAAATGACTTGATGACTTGGGACAGGAATACAAGAAAAAGAAGACTGTCAGGGGGAACAAATATTTTGTGGAGGAAGTAGGAAGAACATGGTATTTTGTATATCCTATTGGCCTCTGCACATTGGGAGATATTGGTATTTTTTTTTTCTTACAGGTCTAAATATATGCTGCTGGTACAATAAAGAATAGAAGAAATGATGGTGGAAGAAAAAGAAAAGGAATTAGGTGTGGCCACAGCTGCTGCCAGTAGTGATGGTATCAGTGGACCTTGAAAACTTGCCCCTGATGCTCTATTGAAGGTGACAGTGATAGAGGAAGGATATGTGTATTTCTTGAGCAAGGGAGTTCAGTGGAAGTAGCAAGAGGCCAGTTAAGAGTCTATGAGGAAGCAGGAAAAAGAGCAAAAAAGCAAAACTCTTTAGAGAAGTGGAGGATAATAGCAATAGTCACCTCACCTATTCCTTTACTTCATCATACCTCCTACTAAAGATAGACAGCAGAAGTGTTGCCTTTAAATTCCCATTTCTATTTCCACTTTTAGTACACAATTTCTCATTACCTTTCCACCCCTACTAGTAAAAGCAGAACCAAAAGAAACAGCTTGAATAAGTATGTACTGTGGGACATCTTCAGCTAGCATGTTGGTGGGTGTTGGAAGAACTTCTCTGGGAGGCAATAGGAGGCAAAAACTTCAGTAGTAGAAGGGACAAGAACAAAGGGATCAGCTTGACTCAAGATCCTTACTGAGGAAAGAATAGTACCCGGGAAAAACCAGGGGACTAGAATGGTGACAGTGGCTTTTTAGAAAAGTATTTCATGGATGAATCCATCCTTTGAATGAAGAAAATATCTATCCTAGAATGGAGTTGAAGCTTTGTGTTCTGATGGAGCCAGTCCTCTCTTATTTCACAAATGTAAGAAAGAACCAAGGAGATCTGAAACAGCTTCTTATGTGAAGTATTTTCTGAGTTCATCTTTAATTAAAATGTAGTTTAATGTCACTTGAGAAAAATTATAAAACAAATAAAAAGAAAATAATGATTCAATTGTAGTCTCACTACCAGAGGTTGAAGTCTTTGTATTTTCATGCATTTAATTCCATATATGTATGCAGAGATATCCTACTTTTAAAACATCCTTTGTATGGGACTGTACATCATGTCCTATAGCCTTAATTTTTAATTGCAATAAAAAGCATACAATGAAATATTTCCCCTTAACAAATTTAGGTGTTTGGTATAGTTAACTATAAGAACAATGTTTAGCAGTTCTCTAGAACTATTTTATCTTGAACAACTGAAACTTTATATATGTGACTTTAGCTAGCATATTACAATTATAAGATATATCCTTAAACATTATCCAAGAACCTGGTTTTGAGAGTCCTCAGCCAAAGTTTGACTACCTGAATAGAACAACCCTGCTGTAACAGGAAATCAAGGGAAGATGGACATAGGTGATTACAGTGAGCCTTTCACAGGATACATCTTTTACCTGGCAAAAGACCTAATATCTAGTTGTCTGACTTCATTCAGCCTTGGAGCCAAGGAGATTTTGGAATTGAAAGCTATTTTGTGGGCCCTCCCACTTAATGGATTGCTCATTGCACAGGACCTGTCTTTGCTCAGCTATGAAGACTGATCAGGCTATGAGGGCTAATCTGGAAGCTCTGGAGTTGTGCAGGACCCATTGAGAACTGGACAGCCCACCTCCTACTTAGATTGGCTAGAAAATTCTGTAGAAAGCCTTTGAAGTTCCCCCACATAAGTAAAGTAAACAGGGGCTCTCGCTCTCTCTTTCCAGCATGGAAGTTCAACTCCTCAGGTCGATGAGCAGTCCTGCCCCCACTTTTTAAAACTATTTTCTGTGTTGTGTGATTTTTCACCATATTTCCCAGCCAGCCCACTCCACACAGGGGAACCCTGCTTCCGTCACCTACGTAGGCCGTGGGCGAGAAAAGGGCTTCTCACGTGGGAGGCTTATTTGCATTGGCAGATGCCCCTATGGCTCTTGTCTGACTTATGTCCAGTTTATGCCTGCTTGACCATCCCTCTGGGTGCTGGGAACCTGACCTTCTGTTCTCTCCCATCCTAAGAGTAATCTGGCTTAGAACAACTCCTTGTTCTTCAGATAGAAGGAACAAATTCAATACCCCCACTACATCAGGAAACAAATCCCGAGATTTTTTTTTCCTCATAGATATTGGGAAAAAAGGGTGCAATAAGTAAGTATGGCAGTCTTTTCTCTATGGATCGCATGAAGCTGGAATAAAGAGTAAAGCAGATATAGATAGGGATAGAGATAGAGGTAGAGCAAAAACCTAGCCGTATATGTAAGGGAATAAGGTGTGTGTCACTTCATGTTTGTGGGCAAATGCCTGAATGACTCATTTAAAGGAAGTGGTGAGAAGAATAGGGAGCTCAGTCTTATAGTTAGGAGAGGTCTCTGAATCTCTTGGGCAACAGGCTTGAGCCCTTTGGGCTGGTGTTTAACTTCTAATACCCAGGTAGCAATTTTTGCTCTGTTTTTCCTATTACACATAATTTCTAATGGTAACTTATCTTCATAATATGAATGAACTAGTTTTATTTAAACCATTATTAATGGGCATTTGGGTGATTTTCTGTTCTTTAAAAATCTGTATTTCAATTAGTGGAGTATTATAATACCCTCTTCACATTGAACAAAACAATAGAGAATTTTAAGAAAGAGGTAGTGATTGATAGTGGCAAATTCAAAGGTTTAGTAAAAAACTGGGAGGCTATAGCTGTAGCTCAGGGGCAGAGTGCTTGCTTAACATGTGGAGGCACTGGGTTTGATCCTTAGCACCATATAAATAAATCAATTAAATTAAGAAAAAAAGAGCAAATAAAATAAAGGCAAGTTGTCCATCTACAACTACAAAAAAATTAAACAAAATCCAACAAATATTTTTAAAAATTTTTAAAAAATACCGGAATGACAACATCTCTTGAGTTTTATAAGACATTTATAACCTTAGTTAAAATTCAACTTTAATAGAAGTAATAGGAAGCAGAACACAGAGTAGTGAATGGGAGATATGAAATTAGGTACAATTAATATGACTTCCTTTTCAAACAGTTTTGTTGGAAAGAGAAAATGAAACTCAATTGTAGATTAAAGAAAATGTGGGGTCAAAGGATTTCTCTCTGTCACATTCCACATTTTTATTGAGTTTTATAGCTGTACATAATGCTGGGATTTGTTATTGTATATTCATATGTGCACAAAATATAACAATATACTTTGGCCAATATCACTCCCCAGCACTTTCTCCCTCCTTCTCTGCTTTTCACCCACTGTTCCCTTTCATATTCTGATATTCCTTTGATTTTCATGAGATCTCCCCCACATTTCTTTTCCTTTTCCCTCTCTGGCTTCCACATATGAGAGAAAACATATGACCCTTGACCTTCTGAGTTTGGGTTATTTCACTTAACATAATGGTCTCTAGTTCCATCATTTTTCCTGCAAATGCCAAAATTTTATTTTTCTTCATGGCTGAATAAAACTCCCTTATGTATATATACATTTCATTTATCCATTGATGGACACCTAGGCTGGTTCCATAGTTTGACTACTGTGAGTTGTACTGCTACAACATGGTATTCTTTTTTTCCCCTCCTTTGGTAGTGGAGATTTAACCCAGGCGTGT